TGACTAATGAGGGTCCTTTATATGAAGGAAAAAGATAGCAATCTACTTTCCAATCTTCCTTCTTGCTAGAGAAGTCTCTGGACAGCAGTTTAGTCTTATCTTGCTGACCGTTTGATGCAAATAAGCTGACTTGCTAATGGCCACCACTGTGTCAACGTAACATCAGGACTAACATAATATTGTAAATCCGCCTTAAGGGTCCATCAGGGAAGTCCGGCTATCGCTTGATGACTTTGAATAAACTAAAAACACTCAATGCTTTGAGTGGCAATATGATTGACCTACTAACAACTGATATGAAGCATACAATCTGTACAGTTATGCTTTTAAATTTGTTTCTTTCACTTTTACAAACTACAACACAGTCATAATGATATAAAATGATAATTGTAATTATATATTAATAGTCTAATTTGACACCTTTAGTTATGTCATATACTTTTTCAAAATATTTAGTACTAATAAATCCATTCTCATCTCCTGAGCATAATATCACATTGTTTGCTGAGCGATAGAACAATAAGCCACCTGAAACAAAACAACATTCGCTCATCAAAAGGACATCATAATCAGGGTTTCCCACAGGATTTTAGCATAGTGCTCATGTGGGTTCTAGTCATTAGATTTTAAAGTTGCTCAAAAATTTGACCGTCCCTGTACTATAATACAGGGTCCTTGGCCAAATTTCACCCAAAAAATGACTAGGAGAAAATTCTCCATTTTAATAACTCAGATAAAAATTGATTTTTTATGAAATTTTAAAGTTGCCCCAAAACTAATCACTCATAAAGCATCACTTAGCATGCTTTGTGGGAAACCCTAATCATTATCCCTAATCGTAATAATCTAATAATGTCATACCTTCCAATGCTTTTTTCATGTCAATGTATATCAGAATTTGACACGAAGACCTCATTCCTATCAATACCAGTTATTAACTAGTTAATTAAAACTCCACCCACCACTAATGACTCCATCCTCCCCAGGCAGTCCAGCTGCAAAATGAACATGATTCCTACTCATTTTGCTCAAGCCCTTACAATTAGAAATACAAAATTATTAAAAATAGCTATTATCATAATTATTAATATACTCACTTGCTTCTTTATCTGTTCCCATGCTCTTCTATATGTACCATGTACTACAACTGGAGCTTCTTCTGGTCTAAGGATTGGAACCAAATCAAGACCCTTCACCTATTATCAATAATAATAATAAAAAGGTATATGTTTTACGGTAGTGGTATACTTCTTATGCCTCTTTTTAAATACTAGCAATGCATATTTTTAATTATATATACCTCTAGGCTGTGGCCTTGATTGGCACAAATCTGAAGCTTTCCATCATCGTTAGGTTTTGAGCGTAATGAGAACCTTTGTTTCGGATAGTTAGCAACAACCCTCTGAACATCAGAGACAGAGTAACCATTCTTCCTTGCTTCTCTTAGCTCTAGTATATCATCTACGTTAATATAACCACCTGAAGAGAGAGAAAGAGAGAGGGAGAGAAATTAGACTAAAAGACTGGAGGTTTCAACGCCCCCGCACTTGATGATTCCAGCCCCACCTTCTTGAACTGTCAATCCTTTCTTCTCCGCACCGTGTCTACAAATATAGGAGAGGAACTTGGAAAGTTGGACGTCGTTTACTGGTCTTCCTCTATCCTACGAGTAAAAGAACACTGACATTGGCTTATCAATGAACTCACTGATGGCTCTCCAGCTCTCTCTCCAGGGCTGGCCATTTTGCAAAGCTAATAGATGATTGATGGGCGTGCATGATTAGATTTACAGGCGGTGTGGTCACTTGGCCCACGACGAGAATGAAAGCTAATGAAGGAGACAAGATGATGGAGTCTTCATCTTTGGTAAAGAGATACGGTAGAATAGGAGGAGTAGTAGCATTATACTGGTAATCATATTTAATTATTGATAATTATGGAGATGTTTTCTGTTGGTTGACAACATAGATACCACAAATATTTACATTTAGGATTTTAAATGATATCTATGTGTATAATTACTTTTATCTTAGGTTTGTGTCAATTTCTCTTGTTTTCATGAACAAACATTTACTCAGCAATGAAAGATTAAACGTGAGCAGTCAATAACCAATTTGATATAAATACATGTAAATCTTTTCCACATACTCTTTCCACTAGTTAAATGCTCCAATATTCATCACATTATCACAATGCTGTACTGCAGTTACTGTATTCTTTATACTTGGTCTCCTCAGCTCAAAATTCCCTCACTCAATCACATTCCCTTCATTTGAATATTATCCAGCCACTGTATTAAAGGTGAATTATAACATTTAATACTAAAGATCCTTTAAAATCTTAATTTTCTTTAATTCCACAGATGCTTCCACTCTCACTCGTTTTCGTAGGAATGATAACTTTTAATAACTTAACCCTCAAATTTCTCGGTGTCGCCTTTTATAATGTCGGTCGCTCGCTAACAACAGTTTTTAATGTGGTAAGTGAAATAGCTAAACCCTTCATTAACATAAGATTGACATAATGTCTCCCTCTCTGTCTTAAGATTCTATCATTTTTGGTTCTAAAGCAGCCCACATCAATAAGAGTCCTAACATGCTGTGCCTGTATAGTCCTTGGGTTCCTCCTGGGCGTCAACGAAGAAGATAAAAGTGCTAAGGATTTCAACATACTTGGTGTCATCTGTGGTATACTGGCAAGCCTCTGTGTGGCTCTTTATTCCATTTTAATAAAACGGTCACTCCCACTCGTTGATGATAACATATGGAAACTTCAGCTCTACAATAATGTAAACGCTGTCTTCTTACTAGCGCCTCTCATGGTATTATTCCATGAGTTACCAGAGCTACGTAATTTTGAATATTTCGACGACCCTCTCTTTCTCTCTCTCCTCCTCCTCTCTGGGATTTTCGGTATAGCCATTGGTTATGTGATGTCGCTCCAGATTAAAGTGACCACACCCCTCACTCATAACGTTAGTGGGACGGCCAAGGCGTGTTTTCAAACTATTCTTGCTTGTATCGTGTTTAAGGAGGTCAAGTCTCTCAAATGGTGGGCTTGTAATTTCATGGTACTTGGCGGATCGTCAGCTTACACTTATGTTAAAATGATTGAAATGAAGGAGGCGGCTGAGAAGAAGCCACACCCACAAGAGGGCGGGACCGATGTAAAAGCTTAAGATAAAATTAATTTGTTTAAATTTTTTATGTTGACTACTAGTGAGGGTTAGTGAGGTATATATCTGGTTTTTGAATTAAAAATTTGAAAATGAGAAAATTGAGCCATTGGTTGAGCAGCAAGAGAGCTACAACAGAGAAAATAAAATGGACAGAGAGAAAGAGAGCGTGTCATTAAATTTATAAACACCATGTTCATCTTACTCCAATATTATGAGGGTGATAATCCACTGATGATATTACTGATGATGATGCTATGGGACACTGTAACTTAGTAACAGGAGAAATGTAGCGTAAATCAAAAACTATTGCCTAAGAGAAAGAGCAGAGGATTATTAGTTAGTTATTTTTAAATTATTTTATTTTCTCAACTGCATTTTCTTCACTTCCGGTTGCAATGTAACGCCCACACATACTAAAACTGGTTCTAACTGGTACAGACCGGTTTACAAAACCTGTATACCACCTCACGCACCTACATGTACATGTACATATATGTAACATGTACATGTACAAAATTTTTTAATTTACTTTTGAGTTCTCAAGTCCCAGAGTTTGATACCGCCGCCAACTGCTGATGTGGCAAAAAGATCATGCGACTGGGGGACACACCCACATGCTTTTGATCCCTAATTAAAATTAAAAAAAAAAAAATTTTTTAATAATTTATTATCTTTACCTTATTTTGCATGATCCAGTGTACATGTCGTGTTGAGTGAGCGTCGTCTTTTGACCACACCTCCTTACATGTATTCATGTCTGTTACATTAAGTGACCTGTTTGAACCGGCTGTAATAACAATATCTATAATGACCATATAAGGAAATAAACGTATCAGTGGTACGAGAATGAAAACATGAAAGTTTGAAGATACAAGAATAGAAATTATTGATGGCAGAGAGTGCAGTGAGTGATTGGGCCAAGTTTGGAATCACCGAAATGACTTGTTTGTAATGATTCTTTGATTGGTACCTAAAAGTTAATAAACACTTTAATAACTGTTTAATAAGTATTCATAAGTAGTACTGCCTTTAAATATGAAATAACTTTTAAAATTATTATCTACTAATTATTGTTATTATTTACCTCTTAATGTCTGGAGGAGGATTAGGGTCAATGTAATACTTGTAAAGGTTGAGCTTGTTTTCAAAAGTTAATAAAATAAACTTGTCCAAATAATAAAACTTAGCATTAGATATTTCACCAGGGAAAGGAACATTAGTCTAAAAGAGAAGAGAGAATAGACTTAAAAGTTTTAAACCCCAAAAAATATTAAACAGGACGCTAATATGTATCAGAAAATATAATAAAAATTGGGGGTGATTTTGGAGCCATTTTTCGAAAAAAAACCATGGGCTATAGCTTTGGGTATTTTTCAAGAAACGGCCCATTTAAAAAACTGGCCATAACTCGAAAATTTCTTATCGGAATCCACTCAAACTTTCTACATAGGATAAGGGCATCAATATGTATCAGAAAATGTAATAAAAATTGGGGGTGATTTCGAAGCCATTTTTCGAAAAAAAACCATGGGCTATAGCCTTGGGTATTTTTCAAAAATGGCCCGTTTTTTCAAATGACTATAGCTCAAAAATTTCTTATCAGAATCAACTCAAACTTTCTACACAGCATAAGGACATCAATATGTATCAAAAAATGTCATAAAAATTGGGGGTGATTTTGGAGCCATTTTTCGGAAAAAACCATGGGCTAGCCTTGGGTATTTTTCAAAAAATGACCTATTTTTAAAATGACCATAACTCAAAAATTTCTTATCGGAATCCACTCAAACTTTCTACATAGCATAACGGCGTCAATATGTATAAGAAAATATAATAAAAATTGGGGGTGATTTCGGAGCCATTTTTCAGAAAAAACCATGGGCTATAGCCTTGGGTATTTTTCAAAAAATGGACTGTTTTTTAAAATGACCATAACTCAAAAATTTCTTATCGGAATCCACTCAAACTTTCTACATAGCATAAGGGCGTCAATATGTATCAGAAAATGTAATAAAAATCGGGGGTGATTTCGGAGCCATTTTAAAGAAGAAAACCATGGGCTGTATTGGGAATTTTTTAAAGTTAACTACAGTATATATATCTTTCTCACTTCATTTTTTTCTTTAAAATTATGGATCGTGTGATTAATCCTCATCAAACACTGAGTGTCTCCCCTTCCCCTCCCTCCAGTCGACCAAAGGCACACACTTTTATCAACAGAACACGATAATAACCAAGAGTGGGCGTGGCCCCACTCAATACTCCTGACACGCCCATCATGACCTATGCTCAAGTAATATTTAATATTTTAATTAAACTAACCTTGTAATAAATTCTGCTGATTATCTTTTGATTTAAATAAATAAATGGAAGGGGATTCGCCACAACAAGCAAGGTGAGATCCATTAGCTGTGGGTGTGGTCAATGACATCATAACTATTAATAATAACTACTAACTAACTAACTATTATACTTCAAGTGACTGATTCCTTTATGCTTTGAATCAGCAATACTGGTGTCAGGAATAAGTGTTACCTATTAAATAATAATTAATTTCTGATGGCAAAGTTATTATTATTAATTATGACTATTATTATTAACTAGAAAAGATCACAACTCACCTCTCTGGGTGGATGTGGTTCTCGTTTCGTCTTTGGCATTGAAGGCTGGAACATTTTCATGTGAGGAGACTGAAGGTATCCTGAAGACTTAACAGTTGACCTGAATGTGACTGGCTTATCTAAAACAAATAAAATAATAATCACTTTATTGTAATGATAATACAATGGCTACCTGATCCTCCTTTCGTTTTGCTTCCTCTTCCAACAGGACGAGAAGGAGCAGGAGGTACTGCCGTAGGTACAAGCTCTGCCTTCAATGGAGACCCACTGACCAATGGCTCACTGCATAAAATACATAATATGCACATGCACTTAATCACACCTTGAGAGAACTGATACTGTAAGAGGTTTTTTTGAAGTATTAGTAATTGTAATATTGAAGAGAGAAAAAGATGAAGAGGAGGATGTTAGCATTAAGAACTGCAAATGAGAAATAGAATTAAAATATTATCAATAAATGAATTACTTGATTATTTGATAGATTCCAAAATTGAACTGTCTCACCCATTGATGACAATACACCAACTTTAGATGCATCCTCTTCTTCTAATTAATTTAGCAATAAAGACCACACCCAATTAATTAATTACCTGGTGATTGAGAGTGTGATATGATTTCATTACTCATTACATCAATTAATAATAAACCAATACTGGTGTAGATTAGGCACCATAAACCACTGGTAACCAACTCACTAGAAAAAGAAATAATTATGATACAGAAGATAATTTAAAAATTAATTTTATTTTCTAACTTATAGATTGATATTGAGTCAAGTGCTCCTCCTCCAGTGGTGTATATTGTGTCAGTGGGTGTGGTCTCAAAAGAGGGTGTGGTTACAGGCCAAAGCAAGAGAGCCGAGAGAGCAATCTCTTTATCCACTAGAAGATCCTCAGAAAACCCTATAATTAATAACATTAATAACCACTAATAACCATTAATAACTACTAATAACCATTAATAACTAACCCAAGGATATTTGTCTATTGGTTAATAATTTAGTGTCAATTTCTCTCACTAAAGTACATTTCACTGATGAGAGACAAGAATAAACTCTCACCTAATTTTAAGAGCATGTAAGTAATAATTTCCTTCCAATATCACCTTTCCATCAGCAGTGCCTATTGCAAAATAATCCCTGAGGAGAGAGAGTCCCATAAAATGAGAAGAAGAGATGTAACCGGAATCAAAAACAAGGCCTCCTTCCAGAACATTCCATATCTAATAAAAATAATAAAAATTAAAATAATGTACTACATCATGTACCTTGAATGTACGATCGTCTGAGGCGGTAACAAGGTGAGTGGAGTCTTCTGGTACAAAGGAAGCAAACGTCACGTCATGAGTGTGTCCAAATAATTTACTGATGACGATAAAATCAGACTAAAGGAAGAGAGAAAATAAAAAGAAAAAATATGATTGTCTCTTTATACCTCCTCTCTTATTTCAATAATGATGATCATTCTTTTGATAGCAACAGCTAAATGGACTCCATTGTGACTAAGAACAAGACAGGTAACGTCATCACGAGAGCAGGACAGAGGTGGGAGTGGTCTGGCACTAGCTACGAAAAATTCAAAAAATAAAAAAGGGAAAATTGTATCAATTATAATACTACCCAATGATTGTAGGCAGTCCTCCAGTTGCCATAACAACAGAGACTCGTGTGAGAGGGAGCATATACAGTGTCCATTGACTGCTACTGCTAGGTGAGTCACTGGAAACTGGTGACCCTCCAATACTAGCATCAACTAAAAGAAGATTGTGTAATTCAGTATAGTTATAATCATTAATTAAGACAAGGGCAGGGCTGATAACAACCCTTCCAAAAATTTTGATGAAATTCAAATCACGAATGTGGATGGATATACAGTACACTCAGTCTCACTCTGTTTTATACTCTGCTATTTGTAAAGTCTCTAGTGGGTTGCATAAAAATGTGATTAAAACTTATGTACTTCTATAAACTGTGAAAAAAATAATAACCAAGCCTTTACTTGACTCTTGTTAACTTTCAGGCCCCATAACTCAATGTTCTTGTCATTAGAAGCTACAAAAAAGTCTTCCTCTTCTCCCTTTCCTTCCCTGTTGCTCCCCATATTTACTGAAAGAAGTACACCAGCTGATAAAGGAGAGGAGACTTTCCTGTGGAGCAAACGAGACACCTCCATTGAGGTAGCCATTTTATTTTCCCGCCAATGTATAATGCGCATGCGTGGAAATGAAGGCGGAGCTTTGACAGGAGGAGGGGCTGGGATCTGCAGAATTAGAATTAGGATGGCTGTGAGTGTGAGCTTTGAAGGGCAAGTTGCTGTCCTTAGAATGGAAAGAGGAGAGAACAGGTTCAACATTGAATTCCTGGATCAATTTCTATCAGCTCTGGATAAGGTAGAAGGGAACCCCAATACCAGGGCTCTAGTAACTACAGGAGATGGAAAGTTTTACTCCAATGGGCTGGATCTTGAAGCCATGTCTACTTATAATGAAGAGCAGTTTAAAGAGTTTGACAGGACCTACCAATTAGCTCATAAAAGACTCCTAACGTTTCCTATGGTAACGATTGCAGCTATTAACGGTCATGCTTATGCTGCTGGAGGCATATTGGCTCTTGCACACGACATCAGGATAATGAGAAAGGAGAGGGGATGGTTCTGTCTTCCAGAGATTAAAATTAACAGATCATTCACCATCTCTACCATGGAGCTGGTAAAGGCCAAGCTCCCTCAATCGGAGCAGGTCGCCAGTGTCCTAATGGGACGACGGTACACTGGTCAAGAGGCATTGGATGCTGGTATAATACAAGGAGTTATGCCTGGACCCCAGCTGCTGCTCTCTGCCCTCAAGAGAGGGGAAGAGGCTGCTAAAGAGAACTTTGATAGAAGTACATTGGGCGAATTGAAGAATGCCCTTTATTTCTCAACTGTTAAGGCCCTTACTGAACCAAATACGTATTATTCCAAACTGTAGACATGATCAATTGATCATTTTGATACAAAAAATTAGTACATTTTAATATTTTTATAGTATCTAGCATAATTATTATGCGCACCAAAATAAACCTGGCCCATTATAGTGTTTTTAGATTTAACCAAGCCTTCTTGCTAATTCAGCCTTTTTCGGGTGGTGCATGATAAATCCAGTCTGCCTGCCCGCATGAGATTGGCCTTAAAGAATTTTAGTTTAAAATCAATAGCAACTAAAAAAAATAACAATAGACAGTTTAGACATTAATACTAAAAAACACTAGTCATTCATATGTAAGTAAGTATGATCTTTTTCAATCC